GGTAACTTGGTGGTTCTAAACCTTGATCCTGGTTATTTATAGGGGCTATTTCATTTGCTACCATCCCTTTCTCCTTTAGTCTCTTCAAGGAGTTAAGACTGCTAAGGTACCCAGTGCACTATTCTTGAGCTCTCAATAAATACTGGGCGTGCCAAAAAATGTACACACATTTTAAGAGATCTTGTTGGAAGTAAAATCAATCATTTCTAAAAAGTGTACAAATTGCAGGTAAAATGAATGTGTGTACATGTCTAGATAAACTTGACAGAAATGGTACATTTAATTCAACTTCGAAAAATAACGCATAGCTAATATTGCTTAAAATGCATATACTGTTTTTGGCACCCTCTGTATTTGTTGAGGAGGATGTAATTTACATTTTTAACATCCCCAGAATCCAGAATTTTAACTTAGATGATATTTTGAATTTTAGGGCTTATATTAGTCCAACATTGTCTTTATGGGGTTCTTGGTTAGGTCTCTTCATATACCACAGGAAGCAGGGAATAAAAATCAAGTGTTCTTTATCTGGTCCATTTTTGGCTAAAAAAAAATGTCCGGGAGGGTCATTTTGCAATAAATGTAGGTTATTATTTTTTCAACGCTGAAAAACAACGTTGGTATGCATGCATGTCATTTCAAATTTAACAATTAAAATCAGCCCACCCCCATTTTGAAGACTGACAGATGATTTGAAGGAGCACTTTGAGAATCTGATTCCATAGCCCTTTCCAGGGGATCAGACAGCAGCTTCTATTCTGTCACTCCCCTGGATGGAAGTAGGACTCTTGATTCCCATCTGGCCATTCTCAGAGGGTTCATTTTTCAGAGCCCCAGGGCATTTGGGGGAACAACTTGGAGGGAAAATATGAGCTTTCTTTGCCTTAGAATGCAATTTCATCAGTGCCAGGCTGGCCTAGACCACAGGATTATAACCATGTTTGTGGTGGGTGACAGGCTGGGAGACAAAGGAGAGGTCCATGCTTGAGCAGCATGACCCTGACTGAGAAAGGGAGTCAGCTTCTCAGGCCTTCCGGAACTGACTGGCTAGGAAAGCTCAGAGTGGGGAGTGTCTCCAGTCAGTGTGTCTCATGATGACAGCTACATACCCAGGCTCCCAAAGGTGATGCTGTAAATAAACGAAAAGGGCCAGAGTCTAGGGACGTGACCATTTCATAAATCTACAGGGGCTCCTCAACCCTCACAACTTAAGTCACTCCTTAGTACGTCATGGTAGCTTCTCAGTCTATTTCCAAATAAAAATATGTCTTATAAATGTTACAAAAAATAATCATAAAATAGTTTAAATATTTCATTATTTGGCTCACAGTTCTGATGGCAAAGCAAAGTGCAGTTCTTTCCCTCTCTCACATTCTAACTGGAACAGGGTCCTTATCAAAGTACAGACACCACAAGTCCACTGAGACCGACATAAAAGGCTATCTGCCACATTTTCTGATAAGGCAGGAATGTGCTTTACAAATCTCTTGAACATGGCCTTTCTCATCTGTCACCATTGTATTTCTTTACCTTGCTTGTTTAGGGGAAAACTGCTATATTTTAGAACTTTTCTTACGGGTTGGTATCTCATCAGCTGTTGGTCCAAAGTCTTGCTTGCTCACCCAGTGGGAATGCAGAAACATTGACTGAAGACCTACCAACTGTTATCCTTGCTCACTCAGTGTTCTCTGAAGGCAGAACTCATCAGCTGACTTCCCAGGACTCTTGTCAAAGCCACTGACTTAAAAGGTATACAACAGGATTTCAAAACTATTTGTAAGGTTTATCAGGGAGTAAAGGGGAGGGGGTAAGAATATGTATTGTTGCAAGGCATCAGCTCCCAACTTCTCATTGCAGGAGATAACTTCAATTCAGTCTCCACCCAGCCCAGCACCAGCCTCGGCTGTGAGGTCTGCCCAGAGATATTGCTAGCCCTTAGAGAAATTTCTGCAATGGCTGATCTTCTGGACAGAAGTCAGCCAGGCTTGAACCTGAGAAGATGTGCCCTGTGAAGCCCCTTTGGGGGAGCACCAAAAATCTGCTGGCAGGTATATTAGTTCTCCTTCCTATCTAGGTGGAAATGAAAGAACCATTGAAAGTTCTAAATAACTGAAACAAAATAAGATTGAATTACTGTTCCTGCTTATATATAGATGGAGAAGAGCAAGTTTGAGTGCCTGGTGGATGATGGGAATCGTGGAAGGGAGAGGGGTGCCTCAACTCTCTTGAGCAATGGACTAAGAGGGAAAAAGGAAGGGACCCACTGGCTAAAACAAAATACATTTTCAAGAAGGGCAGCTCTCAGTGAGTGGTAGTGTTGGCCACTTTGTTAGGGCTCTTCCCTCCCCTCCTAAGGTGCTTCCCTTCATCCTCTCCTGTGCTACTAGGCCCAGCCTACTGTGGAAGAAGAATAAAGCTGAGCTAGGTGTGTTTTGTGTTAATGCCTCATTGATTTAAAAACGTTAAGTTTGGAGTGTAGTTCTATCTTTGTGTGAGGCTTTTCTCTATGCTGACCTCATGTCTTTGGACTCTGATTTGGTAAAGAAAGCAGATAACCTTCCCTTCGATTGCATATCTGATGAAGATTTAGTAAACTGCATTAAGGTAATCTTCAGCTCAGCGCCCACCCTGCCCAGCTACTGGATTTGTAAGTCAGACTTCAGTATAGTGGCATGTGGAGTCCCAAATTAATAGAAGCCAGAGCCAGAAAGTCTTCTTGGATTGTGCCAGTCTCACAGTTTGCTCTTAGTTTTGATTTTCTATGCTGGTATATGGAGTCATCTTGGACATGTCTGCGGGATTCCAGGGAAAGAACATGGGTAAATTCACTCATTGGGATATCTAAGTGCACGTTAGTTTGCATTTTCCAAATCTGCTTCTATTTTGGATAGTACACTTTTACAAAGCTTATTAGAAAACTGGTCTAAAAGAACACATGCTTTAAAGAGCATTAAAAAGCACGAAATAAAGAGCAGGGCTTCAAACCTCAATAGCAACATTTTCTGACACAGGCTAGAGATTTTTCTTTCTTTCAAAAGACATTATCACAACCAGCTTTCAAGAGTAATAGATAATAACGTGGGAGCAAAGTAACTCACAAGCCCCAGATGTCACCGGAGCACACATTCCTTCCTCTTCCCTTACTTAACCTGTCCCCACTTGCTCACATAGACATCTAAATTTCATCTCTTCATCCTTCCCTTGACCTTCTTCTGGAAAATCGAGAAATTAATAAATGGCCAAAAGGCTGAAGAAAGAGAAGTCTGAGGCCAAAATAAGCCCAAACTTGATAACCCATGCCTGAAAAATGGCAAGTAGGCCCTGTGATAACTTCCAGATAAGTCATGATGTTTTTCAAGTAAACTGATGTCATTCTATTGGCCTCCCACTTCTTCCATCCAGAATCACTGATCTCCGCTGGGGCTGATAAAAACAGCTGGTTGAGGTCTCTAATCTCTGGCCATTCTTAGGGATAGTCATTTTATTCCTAAGTGTAACCCCTTCTGGTGTGACCCATGTGTTTTCTGCCAACTCCCCACAAAGAAGGCCAGGGGAAACCATCTGAGTAGGACTTCTGATAGGGGACAGCAGGACCTTGGAATCTGTCACTGTGGTGGAGGGGGGCAGGTGGTCCATAATGGGGAAAGGAGGACTGAATAAGATTAGGCTCTGAGGTCTTCCTGGCCTTGATCTGTGGAAAGGCTTAGAACCCCCAGATGGTCGCTCTATTTTTGAAGAAAGAAGATTGTCGCCAGATGGCTCTGTCTCTGATGTGCGCTTTCTGCATTGCCCTATTGCATCCTGGGAGGACAGCAGATTAGGCAAGCCTGGTTCTGGAGAAAGGGCAGGTCCCTCACACAGGCAGGATGCAGTGGCATCCACTGGCGAGGACTTAATACCTCCTGTGTCTTGCTTTGGTTTCTCTTCCTTTGGGCTTTCCAGGGGGGAGGGAGAATCATCTTTGGCAGGTTTCTCAGTGGAGCTGGGTTCTTCTTGGCTCCTCTCCAGAGGCTGAGCCCCATTCTCCCCTGAGCTCTGAGAGGGCAGCGGCTGTGGGATCTGGGTATACTGAATCTTAGGTGGGATGACTGGGACTGCCCTAGCCTGGCACATTTTGACCATGAAAGAGGTTCTCACAGCTGACACACTCACAGGAGCTGAGTTACGCCGGCCTGTCAGGGCATGAGCAACAATGTCCAGGTCCGGGGAGTCCTGGGAGTAAGCCCTCCAGGAATCTGCTTTAAAGTGAGATGAGGTCACCCATGGCACCTTTGGGTCTTCCAGCTCAGAGTGTTGCATTCCAGGTGAACTAAACGAGGCCACATTCTCAAACCGAAAGAGGTCAGTGATGGGAACGGCAGAGTCCAAGTTGAGGGAAGAAGGTCGATTTTTCCCTTTTGGGGGTCCACATTCAGTGCTCCTCAACTGTAACTTTGGGGGATGCTCTCCTGGCAAGGTGCTGTCCTGCACGCTAGGTGAACTCTCTTCACTGCTCTCTGGCCCAGGAACACTGCTTTGCTTAACCAAAAGGTTGCTGTGCCCCATGTGTGTCCCCAGCTCCTTTCCCTCTGCTAGGCTGATGGGGCTGGTTTCTGCCAGCTTGGGTTGCATACTACCTGCTCCCTTCTGGCTGGGATGAGCCTCTTCCCCTTTCAGACCAGACAACTCTCTGAAAGACCTCAGAGCTTTCTCATCCCATCCAATAATTTCTCTCCTGGGTGCCAGGGGCTGCAAAGGGTTGGAATTCTTCTCTGTTTCAAGGTCAGCACAGCTGCTAGAGGAGGGAACCTCGAGAGTCCACTGACTCTTAAATGTGGGTTTGCTGTCTAGAGAATGGCTCTGGCGAAGGCTGGGCCTGTGGGAAAGCCTCTTCTCCAGTCGGTGGCCCTGGGGACCCTGCACTTGGGCCTCATGCCCATCTTTCAAGGTGGGGGAGTGAAGGGGACTTGTCACCCACTGGGGCTCCTCCCAGGGCTCCACCATCTCCAGGCCATGCTGGGCAATGTCTGTCACAGCGTCGTCTTCGTCACAGTCTGAAGGCTCCTGTACTGAATGGGCAACCTCCCCTTCTTGTGGGGGAACCTCAACCTCCCTTGTTGGGCTTGGTAAACAAGAGCCGTTTCCCTCAGGAGCAGCATTCTTTGAATTTTGCTTTTCACTTTGTCCCGGTGCTGCCTCCTCTCCCTGACACAGGCTAGGGATCTCAGGGCTGTCTTTGAACTTCAGCTGGTCTATATAGGGATTTGTCCTCAAATTCCTGAGTGGGTCTTCCCTCTCAGGGCCTCCCTTTGACAGCAGGACTCGAGGCACCTCTTCTAAAGGAGTTGGAGGGGGAGGAGCAGGTGGAAGCGGAGGAGACGGATTCTCCGGGCCTGCCACCTCCATCCTGGCTAGTGGAGAGACGGTCTCAAATGGAACTATTTCTAGAGGAGCCAGGCTAGCAGGGTCTGGGCGCGCACCCACTCCAGACTCAGATCGGTGGAGGCCGCTGATTGGCTCCAGCTTCTCTCTGTTGGCGGCCGTGGACGTGCCTTGTGTGCTCTGATTGGTTGAGTCCCTAGTCCACTCCTCCAGAGGGGCGGAGACTGGAGCAGGGGCTGAGTCACAAGGTAAACTACCAGGAGGCTCTGTGGCAGCGAAGGGTCCAGGACTCGACTCTAGAATTGGCTGATTTGGGATTAGCGTCAGAGCAGGTGGTGGCAATGAGGAAAGCTCCTCTTCAGATTCGATGATTTTCAGCTCTTGTTGAATCTCGGGCCAAATCAGGGCATTAGCCAGATCATCTTCATCCTGAAAAACAACAAGAAACTGATTATTTTGGAACAAAAGGACTCTGGGCACTGACATCTGCAATGTTTCCAGTGAGACAAAGTAACTGGCGCAGCGCCAGCCTGTGCCACATCAGCAAATAAAGGACGCAGCACCAATGATAACTGTGGTGCCTCAGTGCTTACCATGTATCATAAAATACTTTAAAAATGTTTCAATACTTTATCTTCTTGTTTAATTTCCCCAACAACTCTAGAGGATAAACACTACCATGGTCACTCCCATTTTATAGATGAGGTGGTCTGGGTTCAAATATTAATGATTAAATGATTAACCTAAGTCATTCAACAGAAGACTGGGATTAAATCCCGTTCTGTCTGCACCGAAACATAAGTACTTAGTTCCTGTTGACTGTTGCCTAATAAAACAGACAGAAGAAACCTTAGAGTTTACTAGAAGGGATGCAAGAGATTCTCTCAGCAGAATGAACATGTTAACTCTTACCCTGACACCTGATTTCAAATAAATAGATGTAGTTCTTTTTTCTTATTACCAAACAACTACATACTCCACATAGAAAAATATTTAAATACATATTAAAATAAAGGCATATAGAAAAATAAAAATATATTCCATTCCTATTACCCACAGATAACCACTGTTAACCCGATGGAGGTTTCTTTCCCGTGGTTGTTGACCTGCCTCCTCCTCCAGCTCGCCTGCAGTCCTCATCTCCCTTCAAATCCAGCTTCCCTTTGTTCTTCTCAACTCCCCCCTTTCCCTACACAGAGCCCAAAGCTGAAGACAGGAAAGGGATGGAGGCCTGGTCAGGGCCAGGAAAACACATTTCAGTTCCTTCTATTTCATGCCTCAAGGCCTAAGTCTGTCCAAAGCAGAAGCAGTCTGGAGAAGCATTTCCACCTTGGGAGGCACAGGCTTTTCTGAGAGGTCTGATTTGCTGCTGACCTCTCACCCCTTCCCACCTGGCTCTAGGCACAAGTCCTTTCAAATTAGTTACTTTTTATGTTTGTCTTCCCATTCCCAATGGACTGGGAACTCCTTGATGTCAAGGATTGTGTTTATTCATCTTAATTCCTCAAGGCCAAATGGTGCCTGGTATACTTTGAGTAGGTAAAGGGCCAGTTGAATTGCAGTGGATCTATTGTTTTCTTTTGAGTTATCTCTTTCGGATAACTCTGCAGGATTACTTGGTCAAAAGTACCCTGGATTCTACCCCACTGCATTTATTTGTGTCCATTTGTATTTTGCCTGACTGGGCCCTCCTTTAGGGCAGGGACAGACTCATCTGTTGACTTTCCTCAGCACTTACATTAATTGATCTCCTACTATGAAATTGGTAAATTTAGATGAACATGACCATCTACACTCCCCTCCGCTTCACTCTGCCGTCTCAGTAAGTGGAGCCACAGTGCAACTTTTTGCTCAGACCAGAAACCTATGCGGTGCCTTTGACACTTCCTTCTTCCTCACTCCTTATCTATTCCTTCACCGAGTTCTGTCCATTCCACTTTCTAAATGGCTTTTGCATCCTTCCACTTCTGTGCCCAAGGCCCCACACCAGCCCACTCCACCATCTTTCCTCACCTTTCTAGCCACATATTAGCCTTTTAACTGGTATTTGTGCCTTCTCTCCTGCCCTTCTCCAAGCCATTCTTCTCACAGAATAGAGCAACCCTTTAAAGACAAAATTCTGAGCGTCTCATAGGCTTTTCCAGTGCCCTTAGGTTAACCCACAGATCTCTTCCAAGCTGTCCTGGCTGACCATGGCTCCTACATCCCTCTGAGTCTCACTTTCTCCAACCCAGCTATCCTGGCTGTGTTTCCATTCTTGGAATGTTCTGTGCTCATTCTCATCTCACATTCATGGCACATCTTATTCTTTCTGCCTGGAATTTTCTTCCTACTCCATACCCTACACCTTTTTACAGCTAAGTTCTCAACCTAAACACCTGTTCTTCAGAGAGGCCCTCCCTGGCTCTTGTGGCACCCCTCCTCCCTCTGATGAGGTTGGGTCCCCCTGCCATGTGCTCCCGCACTACTCCAAGCTTCCACTGCACCATAGAAATGCCTTGCTCAGTGTCCTTTCCCCTACCAGGCTGTTAGCTCCAGGAGGGCAGGGACAGGGACGACTTTGTTTACTATGATGATCTCAGTGCTCAGTATTGTGCCTGGCACAAGTGGGTGTTCATGACATGTTTTAAATGAATGAATTGATGCCTTTATTTTCTCCCTTGAATCCACCCTGGTTTCTTTCCAGCACTAACTTTATCCCCTTCTCAAAGCAATGATATTCATGCTTGGGTCGTCCACATAAGAATCCACTCCCCATATGAATCTTTGCATCATTTTCCTTTAACAAATGCAAACACAAGTCATAGGGACCCTCACTTAGCCCTCCTGAGGCCACTATGGTACCTCAGCTCTGCTCTAACTCAAGCACCTGGTCCTTTTGTGCATGTTCTAAAACAGGCATCCTCAAACTATGGCCCGCGGGCCACATGCGGCACACCTAGCATATTATCCAGCCCGGCGGGTGTTTTTGCTGCTGCTGCCTGTCCTGCTTAGCAGCCGACTCGTCCCGGGGCCTGCAGCCCGCTAATGGTCTGCGTTGCAGTGAACTGGCCCCCTGTTTAAAAAGTTTGAGGACCCCTGTTAAAAACTAAGTCCCTGAAAGCAAGGTAAAGGGCAAAGTTTCTTTTTCTCCTTGGGTACCCTCACAGACCTGCCTCTCAAATGCGGGACTCCTCCTAGGTGTCCCTGGAAAACCTCCTCATGCCTTCTATGTAAGGACATCCCATAAAAACCTTCTTGGAAAACTCCACCTCTAAAAAGTGAATAAGGTTCAGTGAGCTCTGGCATTGCATTTTAATTTCTCCAGATTCCCCTGAGGAAGGAATGGCTCCTGGGAATCTTTCAGATTTTAAAAATGATCATAGACAAGTGCCCACTCAGGCTGTCAGGGAGAAGAGGGCTGGACCCTTTAAATAATCAGCATGTTTGAGAGTGGGATATGACAAGGAGGTTTTGTGCTTCTTCTGGCACTGAGTGTTGTTAACACTCATCCAAGGACGTGTTACTGGTTTATGGTAACCTCAGTTCAGAAATGCATAATGTTGAGTCTGTCTTGAGGAATTTGAACAGGATGTTTCCTACTTATCACTGCAGGACCTTAGAAAAGTCTACTGCAAAACAAATCTAAGACCTGATTAGACGTTTGTTTCTCTTTCTCTCTCTCTTTTTTTTTTTTTTTTTTTGAGACAGAGTCTCACTTTGTCACCCTTAGTAGAGTCATAGCTCACAGCAACCTCAAACTCCTGGGCTTAAGCGATTCTCTTGCCTCAGCCTCCCAAGTAGCTGGGACTACAGGCGCCCACCACAACGCCTAGCTATTTTTTTTTTCTTTCTTAAGAGACAAGATCTTACTTTGGCTCAGGCTGGTCTCAAACCTGTGAGCTCAGGCAATCCACCAGCTTTGGCCTCCCAAGTGCTGGGATTGCAGGTATAAGCCACCGTGCACGGCTCTCTCTCTTTTTTATTTGAGAAAGTCTTGCTCTGTTGCCCTAGGTAGAGTGCAGTGGCATTATCATGGATCACTGGAAGCTCAAACTCCTGGGCTCAAGTGATCCTCCTGCCTCAGCTTCCCGAGTAGCTGGGACTACAGGTGCCAGCTACAGCACCTGGTTAATTTTTTTCTTTTCAGTAGAGACAGGGCCTCGCTCTTACTCTAGCCTTGAACTCCTAAGCTCAAGCCATCCTCCCGCCTCGCCTTCCCTAAGTGCTGGGGTTAGAGGCATGAGCTACTGCTCAAGTTTGTCTATTAAAGTTTCTTTAGCAGAAATTCTTTTTTTTTTTTTTTTTTTCCGGCAGAAATTCTTTAAAAATTTCTTTCTTTCTTTTTTTTTTTTTAAAGTCTACTTTAAATTGTACCAACAGCCCTGGGTAAAAGAGGACTACCTGGCTGGAGCAGGCAGGAGTCCACCTTACCATCTCATGAAGAAACATGGCTTCGGCTCTGGCTCTGGGGCTCTCTGGCAGAGCACTGGGCTCCTCCTGGCCAATCTCTTGTCCTTCCTCCACCACCTTCTCAGGACTTGGCCTCTTCTCTAATTCACTTGACTGTGGAGAGCCCACCGAGACTTCTGAGGTTTTCTCCACCAGCTGGGTGCGTGGCTCCAGGGGAAGGCCTTTGCTGCATTCTGCTGTCCCCACTGCTTCAGGTCCTGGCTTGACATCCTCAAGAACTGCCTTCTTAGGTACAGGGGCTGCAATGAAGATGTGAGTTATTAGTTAAAAGAGACTTCATTTTAAAAGTATCAATAGTGTTGAAATCAAGACACCCTATTCTAGCCCAATTTTGTGCTTCACAAATAAACAGTCAAGCTTTGAGAAGCCAAGTTAGGTGTCCAAAGTCCTCAAAAACTATTATTCACACTTTGCTACAAATAGCTTCTTGTATGACTCTTGCTGCGGGGATTATCTATAGTCAGTTTCAATATGTGCAAAGCATTTGGTTCTGATCTTAAACATCTACTGAGATTAGGAAGAGGAAGACAGACCTCAAGTTTTGCCTGTATTACCCGGCATGAAGTAAGGCCCCACTTCATTGCATGAGTCTGTTTTCACAGTGTGCAATAAAAATTAAGTACCTGGGGTTAGTGCTTGGCACATTGCAGGCCCTCAATAAATGTTATGAATTATTTACGGTAGAATTAAAGAAACCTGGGTTCAAATTCTTGTTTCTCAGTGAATCTTATATTCTTGGTACAAAGCCATCATAATGCTTGCTTTGCAGGGCCGAGAGGAGGATAAAATAGAAGACAGAAAAAAAAGCACGGGGTCTAACATACAGCATAGCCTCAGAACAGTTTTTTGGTAAAGAACTAACTCTACTCGTTGCCATCTGTCACACTGGAGACTGAACTCTGAGGTCTCACCACAGTGGAAGCCTTGCAACTCAGTCCAACCTAGAGCTGGTTTCCTGATGTCTGAATAATGCTTCAGAATTGATAATAGTGCTATTTGCTTTTGGCCATCATTTAGTAGCCTTATTTCATACAATCTAACTTTATCTTTGAGTATGTAGACATTTATAGAATTTGAAACTTAAGATTACAGTCATCCTTTCATATCCAGGCAATTGGTTCTAGGACCTCCCATGGATATCAAAATCTACATCTTTTACATAAAATGATGTAATATTTGCATATAATTTATGCACAGCCTCCTGTAGGCTTTAGATCATTTCTAGATTATTTATAATATGTAATACAATGAAAATGCTATGTAAATAGTTGTTATACTGTATGGTTTAAAGAATAATGATGAGAAAAAGTCTGTATATGCTCAGTACAGATGTGATTATTTTCTTAATGTTTTTCACTGGAAGTTGGTTGAATCTAAGGATGTTGAACCCACAGATATAGAGGGCCCACTGTATTTAATCGGTATAACTCTGTTCTAGCCACATGTCTATTCTTCTCCTACCACTCCCCCTACTGGGCCTTGTACTCTTCTGCTCTAGTCCTCTCTGTGGTTCTAATCTAATCTATTCTTTAAGACAGAAACTTAACCCAAACCTAATTCTTTGTTAAGTAATTCCAAGGTATTTCATTTTCTTTAGTGCTGCTGTGAAGGGTACTGTATCTTTGATTTGACTCTTAGCTTGCCTGTTGTTGGTGTGTATGAAGGTGACAGATTTGTGAACATTATTTTATATCCTGAGACGTTGCTATAGTTCTTGATCACTTCCAAGAGTCTTGTGGTTGAATCCTTGGGATTTTCTTTTTTTTTTT